TTCATCCCAGATCTCAGAGAACATAAATAAACACTAAGCGAGTTATCTTTGATCTTGTATGTTTAAATGTCAATCACTAGATGGCACTATTGACACACACACACACACACACACACACACACACACACACACACACACACACACACATTTCATCTTCATCACCTTGAAACTGGATCAGCTCCATTGTTGTCATCCTCTCCCCGTTCCGAAAGGAAACTGGACCCTGAACACAGACAGAACTTTAAATCATTGGACTGGTCCTGCTCCTTCTGGACCTCTGGGTTCTGGTCTAGGACACGGCCCGGTTCTGTAAATCACGGGCCCACTGTCGGACCACAGGTCTCACCGTGACTCCTTCAAACTGAATGTTCTTCACGGCCTCCAGCAGCATCTTCACCTCCTCTTCCTCGCTGACCGTCACCTGAGCACCGTACTTCTCTCGCAGTCTGACCGCCTCCATCACCTGGCTCAGGGCGGCGCCGGCGACCCACGCCGCATCGTAGGCGAAGGCGTGGAGCGGGTTGACCTCTGACCCCTCCTGGACCAGCTGTTTGAGGTAGGACTCCTGGTAGTCCTGGGGAGTCTGAGGGTGACATCGTTCTTATTGACTCCTGATGACTTCATGAGCTGCTGGGACCAAACAGAATAAAGGTTCTGACCCGGCCAGAGGCTCCCGGGGTGTTTGTGGTGCTGAAGCGTCTGATCTGGATCCTGAAGGAGCCATCTGCAGCCGTCAGCAGGCTGGTAGCAGAACAACCTGACGGCTGCCATCCCAGCCTCCATTCAGCTGATCCTTCAGCTGCTAAAATCCACTGGTACCGAGGTCCGAACAGGTTCAGCCTGTAGGCCTGAACATCACACAGAACCACAGCGTCATCGACTGACTCCAGTTATTTACTTTTCATTTCATTTAAAGTCATTTGGGCTTTTAAAGAACTAAAATCATTTCATTACAGGCACTACAAGCTGCAGTGATAAACTGAGTCCAGTATTTTAAGGATAAAAACAAACTTTCAGATGAATAAAGCTGTGAATTAAAAGTGCAGTAACCAGGTTCCTCCAGCAGGGGGCGGAGCTTCCTCTGCGCTGCTTCACGATCAAAGGAAGCGCTCGTGCGCTACTTCCTGTCTGTCACTTAAAAACAAACTTTCTGAGAACAAGCCATAAAGTAAAACTATTAAAAATATATTAAAATACAAAACAATCACTGTTTCTGATCATAATAAGTTATAGGCTGCTTCTTCGGTAGTCAGACGGAACCGGGAGAGTTTTGGTTGTTTGGAGTTTCCGGTGAGCTAATTGTTGCTAACTGTTTTTTTTTAGCCTCCAGTTTTGAGTCAAAATATTGTCAAATGTATTTTTTTTTACCTCCAAGTTATTTTTTATGAAAACAAATGACAGTGATATGAGACTCACGTTCTGTTGTCTTTGTGTTTATGTTTTTAAAAAAGAAGTTGCTAAAATATATTTTAGCATATTCATGCTATGCTAACCGCTAGCTTGGCTAAAACCTCATTACTGTTAGCATAGAAGTCATGTCGTTTATTCAATTTGTTTGTTACAATTAGTTACAAATGTCTTTGAATTCTTAAACTTGTCTTTTGGAATAAATGCAGTTACTAAATAAATCTGTTTAATTTTGGTAAAATGTTAAAATTGATTGTTGGTAATGTTTTTAAATAATAGTTCTGAGGAACTAGTTAAAAGAAAGTTAAACTAGGGATGTGGACTTTTTATTTATTTATCCTACACCAATATTAAACCTGACAGCAGATTTCTAAAGAACATTAATTGGACAAAACAAGACAAACAACCGTACAAGTGTTCAAGATATCTCCATGAAACTTTAGGAAAAGATTCACATTCTGGTTTTTGTAGGAAGCATCTTGTATCCTGAAAACTAATAAAACTTAATAAAATCAAATTCTAAAGAAGCAGAAAAAGTATAAAATAACATTACAAGACAAACTGCAGCATCAAATCAAATTAATGTGTCTTAGAAAGTAAGGAAATTAAAACAATTTAAAACCATGACATGTTGTAAACAAAGCTCCTCAACCAATGACAGCGTGTTAAATGTGTCAGGTGATGAAGACGAGCGTCTACACTTTGCAACAAGCGCTGTTCTGGATAAAAAAACATACTTCAACATTTTAAATCATTTATCAAATTAGGAACAAGGGCAGATAAAATAATGTTCTTCATGGCAGCTTATCTCTTTAAGGTTCACCAGAAAAACT